ATTTGATGTACTTGGGTTCTGTGAGACCAAACTCACTAACGATATTGAACATTTGTATAACATTCCTAATTATAGAAACGTCAACACGTCACGACACAGTGGTGGTGTCGCCCTATATGTTGATATCAAGTACAGGTTGACAATCCTTTATCCGAGATCCTTGGGGCCAGAGGCATTTCGGTTTTCGGAATTTTTCGGTTTTCAGAATGGTTAGGGTTTTTTTTTTAATGTGTATTAGCCCACCCGGGCATAGATCACTGACCCACATTGGGGCCTGGGGATCGAAAATATAATAAAAATTATAATAATAATAATAATTCATAGGTCTAGGTCATGTTTCTCACTTTTGATATTTTTTTCATTCTTATATTTCTTTACTGTATTATTATTATTATTATTATTTTATTATTACAGTTTTATTATTATTAATTTTATTATTATATTTTATTATTATTATTGTAGTCATTATTATTTTATTTTGGTGTATTTTTATTAAAATTTTTATTTACTATGAATAATTATTATTATTATAATTATTATTACTATTTCATTTTCGCCCCCCCAGGCCCCGATGTGGGTCAGTGATCTATGCCTGGGTGGGCTAATAATCCCTGAAAAAAAAAAAAAACAATGACCCACAAAAAAACTTTCGGTTTTTAGAGCTTTTCGGTTTTTGGAATTTCGGATAAAGGGTTGTCAACCTGTATAACACTTTTGTAAGAGATGATTTAAAGGTTCAGGAGGAGTACATGGAGAGTGTTTTCATTGAATTACGTAACGACACACGAAATATCCTAGTAGGAGTAATCTACAGAAGACCCCACACTAATGTAAGGAATTTTCTTGATAAATTTTCGGAGCTTATCACTATCATAAGTTCAGAGAGGAAACGTTGCTACATTACAGGAGATTTCAACCTTGATCTATTAAAATCAGAGACCGACACCTCAGTATTGACCTTCTTGCTACCTGTCATTCTAAACTCTTCTTCAACACTATAACCAAACCCATTAGAGTAACTGCCACCTCTGCCACTGTGATAGATCATATCTGGACTAACAACACTCCTAGCAATCTTGCAAGTGGAATTATTTATAACAATATTTCAGATCACTTCCTAGTGTTTGCCATGTATAAAACAGCCACAAGACCTGAAAGGTCTAGTAGAGTCTCAATACAATACAGAGACTACTGCGCCGACAACTTTCCCTTTTTTTGAAAACAACCCAATGAATGGTAACTGGGATCTTGTCTATGCCTCCGACAACCCTAACGTGAACAGCTGCAACTTCTCTTGCATCTTCAATGCTTGCTTTGATAAATGCTTCCGCTCAAGACTAAGTCAGTGAAAACTGTATCCATTTCCAAACCCTATATCACAAGCGAAATTAAGATAATGATAAAAAAAAACACAAACTCCAAAGGAAATTTGCAAAAAGACCCATAACTTTCGGTGATGCTTACAGAAGTATCAGAAATAGAGTAACTCAAGAAGTTAGAAATGCCAGACGTAGCTATTATACAAATAAGCTCCAGTCAACATCAGGCTACGGTAAGAAAACCTGAAATGTCATAAGTTCTATTCAGAACAGGAACACTCAGCCTTCGGCCCCCCACTCAGCTTTTATGATAAATGATTCAGTTGTAACGGAACCTTCCACCATTGCCAACCACTTCAAAGAATATTTTATTAATGTTGGCAAAAATCTTGCAGAGAGAATCCCTGATCACCATGAGGAATTTAGAGCCTACATGCAAAACAGACAGCAAAATGAGCTGTTCTTATTCCCTGTCACAGGAGATGAATTACTGGCCATCATAAAAATGTCCAAAGATGCAGCAGCAGGCGAAGGCAATATACCAATGAGCATCATTAAGAAAGTAGCCCACTTATAACTACCTGTTCTCCTACACATTTGTAACTCCTCCTTCACTAGTGGTGTATTTTCGGATAAACTAAAGTTCACCCAGCATATAAAAAATCCGGGGACAAAGGTCTCTTTAAGAATTACCGCCCCATATCAGTCCTCCCAGCCTTGAGTAAGATACTGGAGAAGCTACCATGTTGTAGACTAAATTCCTTCTGCAATGTCAATAACATCTTTACAGACTCCCAGTTTGGATTTAGAGCTAGAAGGTCGACTGAGAGTGCTCTGCTCTCCTTTACTAATGACATCTTAAATTCCTTTGATGACAGTCAGTTCACAGTCGGTATATTCCTGGACCTCTCTAAAGCCTTCGATACTGTCGACCATATCATCCTCCTTTCAAAGCTTGAACGCGTTAGGGGCCTGTCCCACAATTGGTTTACCTCATATCTGTCCAACAGGATGCAGTATGTCTGCTATAAAAATCACTAATCTGACTCCTCGCCAATCTTGTATGGCGTCACCCAAGGTTCCATTCTCGGTGCAGTACTGTTTTTGTTGTACATAAACGACATAGTCCACGCCAGCACACTCATAAAATACAACTTATTTGCAGACGATAGTAATCTCTATGCCAGCAACTGAGACCTCCATTCCTTGATGAGAACTATGAACACTGAATTGACTAAAGTCAGGACCTGGGTAATACGTAATAAACTGACTTTAAACCTTGAGAAAACCCACTTCACGATCTTTCACAGAAGGAAAAACTTACCCCCAGACTTGGACCCCCTGTACCTTGGTAATACAGTCTTCAAACGCGAACAAAATACTAAATTCACAGTAGAGTCAATAAACTGTGCGGTATCATGTATCACACTCGACAATCACTAACTCCCACAGCAATGAAAGAAATCTATCATGGTCTTGTTTACCAACACCTGATACACTGTCACATACTATTTCCGGCCTCTGGCTCTTCAAAAACACAATCTCTTGTTACTGCACAAAAGGGAGTTGTACGAACAATGACCTACTTGAAAAAAACAGATCACACAAACGAAAAATTTGCGAAATTGAAAATGTTAAAATTCGAAGATATTAACACCAACTGCTGTACCCTCTTTGTTTGCAAATCTATCAGTCACTTGCTTGACAATAATTATTTCCAGTTCCAGAATAATCAGCGATACAACTTAAGGCGCACAGAGCTACTATGACCACCCCCATGCTCTCCTCTCAGTCCCAGACCTCCATAAAGTATCACGGTGTGAAGGTGTGGAACAACTTACCCCACCCATCCGAGCAAAGACTATGCTCCCTTCCTTTAAATCATCTCTTAAAAAATATCTATTGCCTAAGTGTTAATATTTCTTGTAATACCTACTATATCTACAGTACCTGCTTTTATTGTACCATCAAAACGGTTTTATCGGAAATTAGCATGTAACTAGATAAGAAATTACCATTGCAATAAACATAATTGCCAACTAGACATAATCCTGACAGCTCTATCCTCTTGTTCAACCTTAATACTGTACAACCCATATTGTACTGCTCTCCCATTATACTTATGTTTTTCACTTCCACTGTATATACTTATAATATAAATAAAAAAACTAAATTAAATATAAAATAATAATAAATAAATAAACCGTGTTAACATTATGAGATGTTCTTATTACCACCATGCTATTGTACTATTACAGATGATACTTAATGTTACATAATACTTCCTTGAGATAAATGTATAGTACAGTATATATCAGGTGCCTAAAAGAGAGCTCAGGTTCTCAACTGGCTCAGCCATGTTAATATTGTTATTATTATCCACTCTGTATCTAGGTTTTTATGGCTAAATAAACTGTTTCAATTCAACTCAAAGGTATTGCACTCGTATGTACTTGGGTGTGTGTGTGTGTGTGCGTGTGTGTGCCAGGTAGTGTGTGTACTAGGTAGTGTGTGTACCAGGTAGGGTGTACCAGGTAGTGTGTGTACCAGGTAGGGTGTACCAGGTAGTGTGTGTACTAGGTAGTGTGTGTACCAGGTAGGGTGTGTACCAGGTAGGGTGTGTACCAGGTAGTGTGTGTACTAGGTAGGGTGTACCAGGTAGTGTGTGTACTAGGTAGTAGTGTGTGTACTATGTGTAGGGTGTACCAGGTAGGTGTACTAGGTAGTGTGTGTACCTGAGGTAGGTGTACCAGAAAAGTGTACCAGGTAGTGTGTGTACCAGGTAGGGTGTACCAGGTAGTAGGTGTACCAGGTAGTGTGTGTACTAGGTAGTGTGTGTACCAGGTATTGTGTGTACCAGGTAGTGTGTACCAGGTAGGGTGTGTATTATATTGTGTGTACCAGGTAGTGTGTGTACTAGGTAGTGTGTGTACTGGGTAGTGTGTGTACTAGGTAGTGTGTGTACTAGGTAGTGTGTGTATCAGGTATTGTGTGTACTGGGTTGTGTGTGTACTAGGTAGTGTGTGTACTAGGTAGTGTGTGTACCAGGTAGTGTGTGTACTAGGTAGTGTGTGTACTAGGTAGTGTGTGTACTAGGTAGTGTGTGTACCAGGTAGTGTGTGTACTAGGTAGTGTGTGTACCAGGTAGTGTGTGTACTAGGTAGTGTGTGTATCAGGTATTGTGTGTACTGGGTAGTGTGTGCACCAAAAATTATATGCACCAAGTTACTAGTGTTTGCACCAGACAGTATGTATCCCGTCCAGTATATGTATCAGTGTATTTACCAAATAATGTGTACACGAGGTTACACGCACACCAAGCAGCGTGTGTACAGTATACCAAACCATCACCATCCTTACAGTATTACCAACGGCCTCGAAACAGTGTCACCAATAGCCACACAGACCAAAATTGAACACCTTTATTAACTCACCGTAAACAACCATATCGAGACTACGTCACCCAAACATGCAACTCCTTACGATAACTTTATATAAATTCATAATAATAATTCCCAAAACATATTATTGTAACAGTAGGTAGCAAGGACGTGTTTTGTGTGTGTGTGTGTGTGTGTGTATGTGTGTGTGTGTGCGAGGTGCCAAGTGCCAAGGGGTGGTTGTCTGGAGGTGCTGGGTGCCTGGTGGTGGTGGTGGTGGTGGCAGCAGTTCCAACTAGATCCTTGAGGTGTGCGGACGTGTGTCTTACGAGACGTCTCCCTACGAATAGACAAACAGACACGGGCAGACACGCGCTTAACGTCTGTCTGTCTGTCTGTCTCTCTTTGTGTCTTCCTCTTCGCCACAGACAGACAGTGCGAGAGACTTATGCTTTTTCTTCTTCCGTCAGGCGTAGCTTCGTCTGGCGATAACCTTTTCGTTGGTATTTGAATGGAGCAGTGATATGGCTTTCTGTTATAGTGAGAATACTGTTGCTGTTGCTCATGTCTATTTTGAAAAGACTATTTTTCCCTTTGTTGGTGCCGACACAGCGGGGGACTCTTGGGCTCCTGTTATCAAAAAACAGAATTACGCTTTGCTGCACCGTTCTTTCCTTAATGGAAAAAAACCTGCGAAGACAGACAGACAGAGAAGACAGACAGAGAGGCAGACAGACAGAGAAGACAGACAGAGAGGCAGACAGACAGATAGACAAAAAGACAGACAGACAAGTAGACAGACAGACAGACAGACAGACACAGAGACAAACAGACATACAGATAGACAGACAGATAAGCAGACAAACCTCAATTGCGAAATTAAAAGTAAACTATTAAAAAAAGAAATGTATCTAGAGTATTAGAACGTTTGATAAAATTCTTGAATAGTATTTCGTCTGATTTAATTTTATTGATCAATATCAGAAAATAACCTACAAAACAATGCCGCCAGGAAAACGTTCTCAAAAAATATTGGCATCGGGGAAAAATGAAAAAAAAAGTCCTAATAGGAGTAACACTTATTGAAAACATTGGTGCTACAGAATTTTTTTTAGAAAATATTGGTGCCAGGGAAAATTCTTGAAAACATTGGTGCTAGGGAATATTCTTGAAAATATTGGTGCCAGGGAACTTTCTTGAAAATATTGGTGCCAGGGAAAATTCTTGAAAGCATTGATGCCAGGGAAAATCTACAAAGAAAACGTTCCCGCAAACATATCATGAAAATAAACATACTGAAGTAGAACAAAAACATTCTTGCAATATTAGTGCAAATTATTCTGTAACACGAATACAAAAACGTACGAGTACATAACATTCTGAAATACGGTACATAACAGTTTTAAGGATGGGTACAAAATATTCTAAAATATAAGAGAAACATTCTGAAATATGGATAAAAAAGTTCTTAAATAATGGTATAACACCTTCTTAAATAAAGTTACAAAATATTCTGAAATACGGTACATAATATTCAGAAATGCAGGTAGTACTCGTCATGGGTCATGCTCTCACTTTGTACTCAGCGGACCAACACCCACATCAGTCTGAATAAATTACCTTGTTACATGGGCACTCATGGTACAGTAGGGGTGTCCACAGTCAGACGCACACACCCCTGTTACCTGGGTAATCATGGTATGCAGGTAAACTAGTAGGTGCGTCCTGGTTACCTGTATAGAAAGTCGCAAAGATTGGCACATGTATCTAGTATGTAATATTGACAGGTAATAATATTCTAAATGTGACAGGCATGTGCTATTAAATGGTGACAGGTAGTTAACGCTGAATACCAAATGAATTATATCTGATTTTAGCAGGACGGACCATTGCGCATTACCCACAAAGAATTATTACACTTATTTATAAATACAATTTCATCATTTCAGGAGATTTCAGACAAAGTAATCGACCCATAATAACGATCTGAGGTGAAGATGGTATGATTTTTAAGCGTTTCCCTTATATCTCTCTCCGTACTGGCTTATCACGGTTGACCTATGACCCCTAGGTGACCCCGGGGTTGAGCTTGAGACTCGTCACACCAATGGCGGTCATAAAGAACAACAGGGAAAAAGTTGATGGAGCTAATTGTTGTTTTTGTAGTTCAGGGATGGATTTTCAACCCTCTCCGCCGTAGACTCGACCATCGACCTACCTGCCTTAGCTATACCAAGTGATGGATGAGCGAGAATATGTGAGAAACCCAGATAAATTTTACTCTACAACTCTTCCACTCGTTACCAGAAGCTATCAAAATACATCATCACATTAAGCCACGACCACCACACTGTCTCCTTCCAACAGCAAGGAGTTTACAGGTTCATTGTTTTGTAAGTGAACGAGTGATTTTGTGAGGAAATACCAAAATTTAAGACCCTTTAATGTAAAATAATTTGTATAAAAACATCTCGCAGAAAATGGGAACGTATGTGATAATAATTAGAAATTAAACTTAAAATCACAAAAAAAAATAGCAACTGACTTCCCGAACACCAAATTTTAGACCTGAAAAATAAAATCAGCCAACAACTTTCTAAAAATCATGTCAGTAAATCGTAAATCACCCGAAGAAAATGTTAATAAATTATTAAAAACAAACGCACACGCCTGAAAAAAAAAAAAGCTAGTGAATATTCCGACCGCACGCTCCTGTGTTTGTGTTGAACTGTGAGGAGATATACAGTGTGTTGTGAACATTAGACAAACTATGTAATTCCAAAAACGACCTGTAAGCCTACGTTGACCTACTAGAGGAATAAATATAGCGACACTGCGAATATACCAAAACGAACTAGTAATTAGTGTCATACTGTAAAGATATACGCAAAAATATACAGTCCAGTGAAAATACCACGAATCTATAAACCCGTGTTATACTGTGAGGATACAAGCAATTTACAGTGAATATACCAAAACACAGCCCCTTAAGACAGTGTTGACCTTCAGGAGGGAGTTATAAAGTTAGAGGAACATGTCAGGCCACACATCAACGGGTAGAGGGGTGAGGAGCTTCTTGGCTCTACTACCCTACCTGGCGTTAATTACTTTCACCCACACACCTGTATCTGCACTCCCAG